GGATTTCAGCAGTCATATGATCTACGCAGCAGCCCCCAGGAGCAGCCCCTGTGCCTGCTGGGACTCCACACGGGGGAGCCGCCTCGGAGTGGGTGGGATGTGGATGTGCCGGCCAGGGGGTGTTCAGCGACAACTGGCTTTGGTCACGGCCTTAATGTCACCAGGACGTGACGCCTGAATGGTCTGAGATGTATTTGGGTGCAGGTCAGTGGGGCTTAGGAGGTTCCCGGTGGCAGCGCCTCCAAGAAGCTGGCCCGGCCAGCCTGGGGCTGGGGACAGAAAGATCAGCTTGTTAAGCTCTGTCAAATAAATGACTGACATGTAGACAATGTGTAGAAGACCGATGCCACAGCGAGTGGAAAGGGGATTTGGGCTCTATATAAAGTGTCCCATTTATAAACCCCCAGGAACTGACCGAGTGCTGGCTGCTCTCTCGCGACGAACACGACTGTGCAGGAAATAAACTGAGCCGGTCACGTCACAGAATTCTCTTAGATAGTGTTCATTTTCTAAACGTGGGGCGTTCCTCTGATGGCCTGCCTTGTGGATACGCACACGAGGGCTGATTTGAGGAGACGTTACGAGTGTCATAAAACCATCTCGCTGGGTAATAGGGTGCTGAGCACCAGCGAGACGGGATGCAGAGTTTTCTTTGGCTGTGCGTTTGGTAATAAATCCACCTGTGATCTAACTGCACATTATTCCTGTTATCTATAGTATCCCAAGAGAATGTTCCCTGGTGTTAGCTCCTTAAGAAAAGCAAAGAAATAATCCCGTTTTAGAGTGTGTATGGAGACTTTATCAATCTCATTAATATTGTTAAGTATCTCAAGGAAAAAAAAAAAAATAGGCCCTCTGGGGCCAGCATTGCAGTGCAGCTGGTTAGGCTACTGCTTGGGTTGCCAGCCTCGCATACGGGAGCTTGCTTGAGTCCCAGCTGCTCTGACTCCAATCCAGCTCCCTGCTAATGTGCCTGGGAAAGCAGTAGAAGATGGCCAGTTCTTGGGCCCCTGCACCCACATGGGAGACCTGGAAGGAGTTCGAGGCTCTTGGCTTTGGCTTGGCCTACCCCTGGCCACTGTGGCCATTTAGGGAGTGAACCACTGGATGGAAGACCTCTCTGTCTCTCTTTGTAACTATGCCTTTCAAATAAATCTTTTTTTTTTTAAACGGCCTTCACTAATGTTAACTTTTTAGGTTTTCATTTTTTTTCCAAATAAATTTATCCTTTAATTCCATTTTTCCATGAACATTTGTGAGGGTGGTTGGAGAGGTAGAATGCTCCCATCTGCTGTTTCACTCCCCAGATGCCTGCAACAGGCCCAGGCCAGGGTCCCAAGCCAGGAGCTGGGAACTCAGTCCAGATCTCCCACCTGGTGGCCGGAACCCAGGCACTTCGCCATCACTGCTGCCTTCCAGGAATTGGGGGCTGGAACGCTGTAGTGTGGGATGTGAGCTTAAGCAGCTCCCTAACTATGCTAGGCCAAACGCCTGCCCCAAGTTTTCATTATATTTAAATGATTTTTTTTTTCATGACTCCTGAAAGGCATGAAAAAAGAAAAAAAAATCCACTCACCAAGAAAACCCAACAGTTGCCAAGCAGCTATAATCAGAGGTGGTCTTCTCCCAGCACCGGGGCCTGCTGTTACTTTCCAGCTCTGGCTTCACAGGACATCGCATGAGTGGGCGCCTTCCTGTGGGCTCTGCGTGGAGGTGCCTGAAGAGGTGCACCGGGAGGCACCCAGCGAGGTCCAGAAGCAGCAGGGCCCCCACCACCCCAGGGCAGGGCTTTGCCCATGTCTCAGTGGGGAGCAGAGAGCAGCTGGCTGCTCAGAGTTGGTACAGCGTGCGTGCGGGTGTCCACAAAGCAGTTATCCTCCTGTGCCCTGTAGAGGGAGCAAGGGCAATCCCCGTAGGAAGGGATGCTGTCTCGGGGTAGCTGTAGCTCCCAGGACCAGTCCTTGTGGAGGTCTTATCCTGCCTGCAGACCTGGAGGGTCCTGTGTGACGTTCCTGCATGTCTTCAAGTTCCCTCTCCCTTCTCTGTGTATTTTATAAATTTCCTAGTTTAAGTGGTTCATCTGTGTGGCAGTTTGGGCATGTGGAGAAGGGGGCAGGGAATGGCAGTCGTTTTTGTGAGAGATAGTGGTATGTTTCGTTCCACGTGGTCTGGTGGGCATTCTACTGTGGTCAGCTCACTACTTGCATATTAAATTGCAAAATGTTCCTACATTAACTGGAAACTGATTTTTTTTAAAAAAAGGTTTTGTAGTTAAATGCTGGTGCTTTTAAAGACATCACCTTCTCCTGCTTGGGAGAAGTAGGTTATGGATTCACACATGATTAGATAAATGAGATTGAAACACTTTTGCCGTGATCTGCCCCAGAGGAGCAGTTAGGAAATATGACACTTGTCCACGTGTCCTGTTTCATAGGTCGTAGGGCTCTGCTCCAAAACCCGCAGTGTATTCGCTTCAGTATATATATATGTTTTATGTATACTTAATTGTTTCAAAGGCTGGGTATGTGCGAGAGAGATCTTCTGTCACCTGATTCACTTCCCAAATGGCCACAGCACCCATGGGTGGGCTGGGCCAGGCTGAAGCTCGAGCCAGGAACTCCACCTGGTCTCTCATGTGACTGACAAGGGCTGGAGCACATCTGTTGTCTGCTGCTTCCCAGGCACATTAGCCTGGAGTTGGATTGGAAGAGGAGTAGCTGGGACTCAAACTGGCGGGACCCACTGCGCCAGGGCGCCTGCTCCCATGTTCACTTTTCACATTATCAGTATATCTTCGCATATTTCACTGTGTATATGGTAGGCAACTACTTACATAATCGTCTCGCAGTGGAGAATTTTGGCGTTTGGTGAGAGACAGACCCAAAATGGGAGGTTAAAAATTGTTCGCTTAGGGGCCAGTGTCGTGGCATACCAGGTAAAGCTGCTGCCTAGGGCGCTGGCATCCTATGTGAGTGGCTAGTGGGTGTCCCGGCTGCTCCTCTTCTGATCCAGCTCTCTGCTATGGCCTGGGAAAGTAGTAGAAGATGGCCCAAGTCCTTGGGCCCCTGCATCCATGTGTGAGACCCAGAAGCTCCTGGCTTCAGCCTGGTCCAGCCCCCACTGTTGCGGTCAGTTGGGGAGTAAACTAACAAATGGAAAATCTCCCCCATAATTCTGACTTTCAAGTAAATATTTAAAATTTTTTTTATGTATATCCATGAGTAGAAGTGAGTGAGAACAGGGCAGAAATCCTGGCTGATTTTATAAAATGCCTCACTAGGTGTTTACTAGATTGGACTCATCAGAGTGATGGTGTGGATATTCTTGTCATTATGATAGGCATTATTCATCTACCAAACAAACCTTGGAAAATCTCTGTGGCTCACCCGTAAGATGCCATTGCCTGCTGGTACAGAATCCTCTGTGGTCCTGGCAGCTCTGTGGTGTAGCTGCCTTCCAAGCAGTGACCCGGGGATCCAGGCTGCTCTTGTACCCGCCCCTGCCGTTACTCGTGCTTCTAGGAGAGAACCGTAGGGCTCACACGTCAGCTTTTAGAAAGCTTCGGTCTGGACAGGATGGGCATCAGCGGTGTGGGCAGCCCACAGCCACGCGACCTGCCTGACTGCCCAGGTACAGGGTGCTAGGAAGTGTGCAGGAACACAGGGATACTCGGAGCGGTGCCCAGCTTGGCTTTCCCTTCTTATCTGCAGAGGGCTCGCCGTGCACGGCCGTGAAGCAGGGGAGGCTCAGGCTGAGTTGGCTGTTGTGTAGAGCAGTGATTTCCAAAGTGTGCAGGCCGGCAGCGTTGGGAGCACCTTGGAAACCCCGATTCTCAGGTCCCAGAACCACAGGTGCCAGTGTCCAGGTGCTGCTCTCTCTGAATGCAATGTCTTCAGCTCCTGTTGAACTCACAATTGGTAAAGCTAAGCCCAAAGCATGACTGGGCACTTCCACACTGTGTGTGCAGGCAGCACGTGGCGGCTCAGGTGTGAGCACGCAGGTGGTAAGAGTCAGTGCTTAGCGGGCTGCGCTGTGTCCCATGCGGGGAGACCTCTTACCCCAGTTGTTGGAAGAAGCGTCTCATCACCATCTTGCAGATGAGAGAAACTGAGGCACAGAGGTTCTGGAACTGTCTGCGGGCAGTGCCACATGGCCAAGCCACTGACCACAGCTGCCAGTGGTGGAGCTGGGGTTTGCACCAGCCAGGGTGGTGCTGTAGTCCCCTCGGTGATCTCTGGGAGGTCTCCCGCCGGGCCACACAGTAGTGTTTCGCTTTTTCTTTGAGTGCAGATAGTCCTTGAGACGTAGCAGGAAACGTGCTGTTGGTGACAGTCACAACACAGGCCAGGTCCCTTCACGCCCTTGGTTCCTTGGTAGTTTACGTGTGTGGTGGGCTGGTGACAGTGTTGGCCAAATAGCAGTGGCTCCATTGTTTAAAACTGAATGCTGGGGCTGGCATTGTGACGTAGTGGGTTAAGCGGCCACCTGCGTCGCCAGCATCATTTACACGCGCCAATTTGAATCCCAGCAACTCCACTTCCGGTTCAACCCCCTGCTGATGTGCCTGGGCAAGCAGCACAGGATGACCCAAGTTCTTGGGCCCCTGCACCCACGTGGGAGACCCAGATGAAGCTCCTGGCTTCAACCTGGCTCAGCCTTGGTTGTTACAGCTACCTGGAGAGTGGTCCAGCGGATAGAAGATTCTCTCTCTCTGACTCCCAAATAAATAAATCTTAAAAAAAAAATGATAAATAGAACTGGTTGTTAGGGGCCAAGTAGGGCACCAGTGGGCAGTGGTTTCTCAGAGTGAGGGGGGTCACTCGCGCCGGAACCTAATCTGCTTAGCTGTGCAAGCACCCGGCTCCTGAGAGGCCCTGCTCTCAGGCCGTCGTAGGGTGCTCGCCCGCCCTGGGCCCGACGCAACCAGGTGATCTGAAGACCGTTTCTGTCTTTGGGAGCTGGACTTCATTTTAATACAGAAACTGTTTTTCCTCCCCCAGAAACATCCCCCATCGCAGAGGCCACCCCGTCGACCGAATTTTGAACTGATGGGAAAGACTGTTCCAGATGGCATGGAGAGCTGCTTGTTTGCTGGCGTCTCGTTAAAATTTGTAATCATTAACTGCGCTTGCTCCCTTGCAGGTGGGCCTGGTGTGTGGTGGTGTTGGGGTGGGCCCTCCCTAGTGCCTTTGTCTCCCGTGCTCAGCAGACTAGAACTGAGACGGCTGCTGGCAGCTCTGCCCGGGACGGTACCGGCCCTGACTCTAGGTAGAGGATAAAGATAGCATCGCCCCTTTCGGGTTTCATGTTGGCTGGGAGCAGCTGCTTGGCTTTGTATAGCTCTGAACATAGCATTTCATTCCAGAACGGCTGAAATTTTTAGTTTTCTGCAAGCCAAGGGCTTAACCGCTGGGTTTTCTCATTCAGTCTGAAGAGTCTAGAATTTTCCTTTGAGAAACAGTTGCTGGTCTTGGAGTGTAGTAATTGAAGCGAAGGGAGATGGTGGAGGGGGGAGAGGGGGAGAGAGAGAGAGAGGGTGGGGACTATTTGCATACGTTGTTTTAGAGCTCCCTGCACTTCCTTCCCCTTCCTCACTTTAAATGGTTTAATTTGCTTAGGTACTGCAGCAGGGCTGTAGGTAATTGAAGTGAATCCTGAGTCACATCCAAACAAAAGAACGAACAGACCTAAAAAAAGAGCAGCTGAAGGCACACTAATTGAAGCCGGGAGTCGCTGTGAGAAGGGCAGCCCGACCAAGCCCCTGCAGGATCTGCCGGCTGCACTCGGCACAGAGCCGCGTCTGGGGTAGAGTTAGGAAGTTCTGGCTGAACAGAAAGCGAGAGGCCGTTTGGAAATGGTTCTCTCTCCTCTCCAAGGACCCGGTGCCCTTGGTGTCTGCAATATAGAATCAGCTGTTTACTTCGGTGGAGCGCGGTCCCTCGTGTTGAATTGGGTAACTGTTGGAGGAAAAGGAGCAGGCTTGCCTCTAACAGCTGGAATGTGAGATGCAGCCTTTGAAATAACTCGGGGAGAGAGCTTCCTCTGCCAGCTCCTGGGCTGGGAAGCAGGATGCGGCGGGCACCCTGGGGAGGCGAAGAGGCTGCAGAGTGCCACTTGGCTGCCGCCCTCGGCCCATTCCCGGTCAAGAGCACCTTGACATCACGTGGCTGTACATACCTCTGCTCACCCAGGGCTGCCCTGTGCTCTAGCTTCACCCTCCCTGGCTGTAGGGGAGGGAGCGGCGAGGGAGGGCTTTGTCTGCCACTCCGGGGGTCTCCTGTGCCTTAAATCCCAGTTGGCCTTTCCTGTCCCTCCTACCAACTGCCTGTTTTCGGGGGAGATCACGCATCAATAAAGCGCTCAGGTGCCTGCTGTGTGCTCAAGATAAGACCACCCAGCATCCAGCAGCTTCCTGTGTCCTCTCCCGGGTGCCTGTCTCTCTGCTCAGGGGTCTTTCCTGACTCTGGGGCCTCCTGCCACCTTGTTCCTGTCTCTGGACTCAGCTGCAGCCCCACCCCTCGGAGGGGTCTGTACCCAGTGTACTCAACACACTGGATCTGTTTCTATGAAGATCTTAGCCCCAGCCCTTAGCCATCAGAAACTTCTTCCCATCCTAACGCCCTGGGCCACTTGCCCCTGGCAGGACTGCTGCTGGTCTACTGGTGTCTGCAGCAGCCGCCTGTAGGTCCGACTTCTTTTGAAAGTTGTTCAGGTGTACCGTCCCCTCCCTGTTCCTTTGTTCCCGATTCTACTCAGCACTCCCTCCCCTGCAGTCCCACACCGTGTTCTAACAGGTCTCCTTACAACTTACATCATCTTTGCAGCCTGCACTGAGCCCACAGCTCCTCCTGCCCCAGACCCAACCCTGGCTGCCCCAGCTCCCCGTCCTGTGCCCCCACTCCCTCCACAATGCTCCCTAGCCCGGGGCAGCACCCGGCTCCCTCCAGCCACTCTTCCTCCTCCCTGGCCCTCCGTGCACACTACACGCCTGCTCCTGCTGTTCCCCCCACCCCCACCCCTATCTGGTGAGCCCATGGAGCACCCACCCCACTGCCACTTAGCAGTGGGTCACCAGCTGCCCGTCGAGGTAACTGACATGCATTTTTGTCATCAGAAAAATATTTGGAGGATTTCTCCCCACAATCGTTTGTAAGGGGGTGGTGGGTCCCGTTTGGTAGTTTTTTTTGGTTTTTTTTTCCCAGTTAGTTTTCTTTTTTTTCCAGCCAGTTGACAGCTTAAAGGCTAGGAAAAAATCGGTTCGTTTTCATCTTCAGAAAAAAACAAGAACTGAGCCAGCTACCTCCCCAAATGCTTTCTTTTTTTCTTTTTAAAATCAGACACTTGTCCCACTCCCCTGGCTGTGACTTGAATTTTATAGTTGATATAATCCCTCCTTTATAGCCTATTTATGCATTGCGATTTAAGCAAGCAGAACTGCTCAGTGCACAGGGAACTTAGTTTTAATTCTTGGCTTCCATTTAAAAGGCCCACAAAAGCCGCCAGTAGCTTTTGTTAATTGCAAAACAAACATACTCCCTGAGACCACCCTCTATTCTGTGGCCCAGTTGAGAGTCCCAGGAATTGGTCATGTGTGGGCCATCATCACCTTTGTGGCCGGGGCTGTTGCTTGTTGTGGGAGGGTCTGCCTGCAGCCTGTGCGGCTGGTGACGATAGTATTGAGAAGACAAAGACCTTAGCCGGCGCCGTGGCTCAATAGGCTAATCCTCCACCTTGCGGCGCCGGCACACCGGGTTCTAGTCCCGGTTGGGGCGCCGGATTCTGTCCCGGTTGCCCCTCTTCCAGGCCAGCTCTCTGCTATGGCCAGGGAGTGCAGTGGAGGATGGCCCAGGTGCTTGGGCCCTGCACCCCATGGGAGACCAGGAAAAGCACCTGGCTCCTGGCTCCTGCCAGGATCAGCGCGGTGCGCCGGCTGCAGCGGCGGCCATTGGAGGGTGAACCAGCGGCAAAAGGAAGACCTTTCTCTCTCTGTCTCTCTCTCACTGTCCACTCTGCCTGTCAAAAAAAAAAAAAAAAAAAAAAAAAAAGAAGACAAAGACCTGGTGGGCTCGACTACTGCTGTACTCCTTACCTTTCCAGGGAATCCAGGGAATCTTTTTGAAAACCTGATACAATTTGTAGAGTCTTTTCAAAAAACAAATACCACCTAAATTTTGCTGACCGTTTCAAGAATATGACTGGAACTTGTCTGTCTGTAAGGTCATCCTCAATTCAGGTTGGCCTGTAGTGGGCTTATCAGTAGGTGTTTATAGAATGAGATGAGCCAGTGCCAGGCCCCAAGCTACAAACCAGAAATGCATCGACTGATGGAGGGATCTGGGAGGGATTGAGGTTGATTTTTTTTCTTATATATTTTTAAATAATTTTAGATTATAGAAAATTAATAATGATTCAATTATACTTTTAGTTATTTTTTTAAATTTCTTTTTTTTTTGAAAGGCAGAGAGAGAGCTGCCATCCATTGGTTCACTCCCCAACAGCTGGGGCTGGCCAGGCTGAAGCCAGAGGCCTGGCCCTCTGTCCAGGTCTCCCACATGCATGGCAGGAATGCAGCTACTGGAGCCATCGCTGTTTGCTTAAACTGCAAGGTGCATGTTACCAGGAAGCGGGAGCAGAGCTGCACCTTGAGCCTAGGCACTCAGATACGGATGCAGGTGTCCTACACAGCATCTTAACCGCAGTGCCAAATGCCTGCCCCCGGTATACTTTCATTTAGAAAAATCACCATATTCCCGCGACCTTGTCTCCCATAGTCTTTTCTAGACTTTGTAATGTATGTTGGCACAGCATAGCGTGCTCCAGGGTACCAGTGTGGTTGGAAGGCGTGACCTAACGTTACGCACACTTTCCGGTGTCTTCCACGTCAGCCTTCGTGTTTGAGGCGGGATCAGGCTCCGGCAGGCGTTGGGTGGATGGAGCAGGGTGGGGATGACTCACGTGGGAGGGGTCCATTGCTTCAGGAGATGGCCCTCTACCATTGGCTTCTGGGTAATTTGCCGCCCTGCACTCAGCCTCATAAAACCGGGCAGTTACTCTGCTCCCATGCCTGCAGGTAAACCCACGCTACATCATCCCTCATCATGCTTCAGGGTTTAAAAACTTCAGAAACAAGCAAATTACGGACTGTAATCTAGAAACTCAGGATTACTAGAAGGGGAAAAAAAAAACAAACCATGGACTTTCCGGTGCACTTATCCACACAGAGCTATTTCAGACTTCAGTGACGTTCAGAAAGTCCGATTCCTGCGCCGCGTTGCAACGTACCCACCGCCTGGACAGCGCAGCCCTGCGTGATCAGATCCGCGCGGTGCGGCGTTTGAACAGTGTTGGGGTTGGTGCTATGGCAGGCGCTTAGAAAAGAACCACTTTTGGTTTTCTCTGCAGTGTCTTCTGGTTGGTGAAGTGTGGGCTTGGGGCTTTCGAGGCGCAGCCCCGTGTCCCCGTCAGTGTCCCAGGACGGCCCGTTTCCTTGGTCGAGTCGGAGCTGACCCCGAGTGTGCGTGCTTCAATCAATGCATGCGTTCGGTGTTTCCCTAGGCCACAGGGGTTTCATCTTCCTGTGCCCGGGAGCCCCCCGCCTTCCTTGCCCCCCTCCTCCTCCTCCCGACTGCTCCTTCCTGGCCTTGAACACCTAGGTTTTCCTTCCAACGGAGGACTCCCCTCCACCGTCCGCCCTGGACCCCCCCGGAACTCTCTTCCTCTCTAGGAATGGCCTTGCTGGCCACTCCGTTGCGCAGTGCGGCAGCCCAGGGTCCTCCAGGGTGGCTCTCTGGCCCCCACCACCAGCGCCCCCAACCCCGTTCAGTCCCACTACCCACGCCTGTTCTGACTGGTTCTAGAGCTTCTCATGGCCCCCTTTTAAAACTACTGCCAAGTGCCTTTTAAAATATGGATGTGAGCATTTCATTCCCAGCTGTTTTTCTTTTTCTGAAGGCCCTTTGGTGGGTTGCCACAGCAGCGGGATAAAGTTCGTCCCTCTCGGATGGAACCTTGACCTCGGTGTGGCTGTGCCAGCCCCAACTCTGCCATTTCCCCCACTCCTTTCTCCTCCTTTCTTGCACACAATGGCTCCCTGGGGGTTTTCTTGTCACAGAAACAAGCAAACCTCCTTGAGGCAAGAAAGT